GGATGTTGAGTTTACATAAAAGACTTATTGTCATCTAACATATATTTACATTTTTTCACAATTTTTGAGGTAGTCAGTTTCTCTCTTTATGAATTGAATATAAAAGATCATATATAATTCTTATGTAGCAATTTTTTATTTACTGGTTATTAATCTTTCTTATTCTGGTTAATTGATATATTGCTTTGTTTAATTTTGTATGATATGTATATTTAATGCCTTTTCATGTTAGTTGGATTGATGTTACAAATGATTTTATACTTTTTATACATGAGATAGGCTTATATAAATTTCAGTAACGGTCAAATGTGTAACGCACGTTTTCAGGACTAGTATATATATTAATATACACGATTTTTCTCATACACACATGAATATTTCACTATGAACGACAGAAATTTAAAGGATCCTTCGGGATGGCTCAGTTGGTCTGGAGGTGGTTATCCACATGGATGACCCAGAATCAATCCCCCTTCAATGTTTTTCGAGTCGTATAGGGCTTGCCAAGTGCATCCTCTCTGTGTGATTTTCAGGCTATTACACAACGGAGATTTATCCAGTGTATACAAAGTGCCCACCCGAACGGCAGAAATTTGTAGTGATTATTCTCGAGTTTCAAAAAAGAAAAATTAAAAGGAAAGATTAGAAGAACTAATATTTATATATAGTAGATTTAACAATATGATTACTACGTTAAACTACTACATAATAGTAAATAATATCTTATTTCACCAACACTTTCTACAATATGATCATCACTACATGAAATGTCACTTATTTACACTACTACCACAAATTCTATAGAATTTCACTTGCCAATAATGTATGAAGGTTCTTCCTTCTAATGATCGGCATATCTATGATTCTTCCCTCTCGGATGAAGCAGAAGGCATCGATCCGTAGAACCTTATAGCCTTTTGGAAATTTAGTTTACTACCATAGCTTCTTTTGGCCTTCCCAATAATGTTAGAACTGTAGAAGAAATATGTCTTGATGATAAACCAGCTGCTTCAATTTGATCAACTGGTGAACCATGATCAATGTATCTATCTGGAAGTAACATTGACCTCAACTGCAAAAAGTCAAGGTTTAAAAATTAAAATTATTGAAAAAAAATGGAAATAAATCAATAATTTATAATTTTTGAACATGTTTGATATGACGGAAGTCATTTTCCATAGACATAGAAAATGTTTCTTACGATTTTATTTTGTGTCTTAATTACTTTCCTTTTTGATCTGTTTAAAAGGAGAATGTCATGTTTAACATTGTTAAGTGCTTGTTGGATCCTCCGGAAGTAGAGCATTTTTGGAGGATCTGGCACGAGGCAACAACATTTTTGATGAGTCCACATAAAATAGCATATCCAATGTTACCCCTACATCGTGGAGGTTTCTGAAAGACGCTCGGCTAGAGAATCCACACAACATAGCTTAAAAAATATTTTCTTGAAAAATGACTTTTGTCGTTCCAACTACAGATTTGTTAGTGATTTTTACCTTAAGGGGTCCGTCCAAAATGCTGTTTAGGCTTAAGAAATGAGACACGTGTGAGCCAAATCCTCCGATTGATCCTTCTTCGACAGTGATCAAGATTTCATGTTCTTTGGCTAAACTCCTAATAAGATCAGCATCCAATGGTTTGCAGAACCTAGCATCAGCTACTGTTACTCTTATGTCATGGGAGTTTAGGATGTCTGCAGCTCCCAAACATTGTTGTATTATCGAACCATATCCCAAAATGGCAACTCTTTCACCTTCTCTCAGTATTCTTCCTTTACCGACCTGTTGATGTTACAACATAGACAAAAAGGCCAATGTAATTTAGAGTCCGTTTGGATTAGCTGATAAAACATCAAGTGTTCAAACAGACTTTTAAGTTACCTCAATTGGTATGCCTTTATTGTTTAGAGGAAGAATTGCACCAATTCCATTTCCTCTAGGAAATCGGAAACAACTAGGCCTATCATCAATAGCTGCTGCTGTTGCAACCATGTGCATTAGCTCTGCTTCGTCCGATGGAGCCATGACTACCATATTTGGCAAACAAGCCATGTATGTCACATCGAATGCTCCACAATGCGTTGGACCGTCTGCACCTACCAAACCAGCTCGGTCCATTGCAAACCGGACAGGTAACTTCTGAAGATCCACATCGTGCACCACCTTTTTTTACAAATATGCAATGTTAGTACAGCAATCCGAAAATGCAAGACTTATATTGTAGAGTGCTTCAAATGTTACTATTTGTATGTTGTTAGTTACCTGATCGTAGCCTCGTTGTAAGAACGAGGAGTAGATAGCACAAAATGGTTTTAGACCTTCTGTAGCTAAGCCTGCTGCAAAAGTAACTGCATGTTGCTCAGCAATGCCAACGTCAAAACAACGTTCTGGAAATTGTTTTTGGAAATAATTGAGGCCGGTTCCACCACCCATTGCAGCATGGATAGCTACAATCTTGTTATCATTTTCGGCTTCTTTAATCAGTGATTCAGCAAAGTACTGAGTATATGTCAACGTAGGCGACTTGGCCTTAAATTGCTTTCCTGTTTTCGGATCAAACTGTGCCACCCCTGAACATCACAAACGAAAAATCTCAGTTTTTCAAAATTTTAAACAAGTAATCTTCTTATTTCCAATTGCCTTACCATGCATTTTATCGTCTGCTGCTTCTGCAGGAAGATAACCTTTCCCTTTCTCTGTTACAATGTGAATTAGAACTGGTCCTGGTGCTGGCAATGCTTTTACCTTCTCTAAAATAGTGATCAAGTCTTCGATATTGTGTCCGTCTACTGGACCGATGTAATATAATCCTAGCTCCTCAAAAAGTGTGGAACCAGATGCACTAAGCATTCCCCTTGCATATTCATCAACTTTAGCTGCAACTTCATGTGCTTGAGGTCCAATTTGCTTTGTTATAGTCTACAAAACACATTGAATAAAGTACTTTTAACACCTTTACTTCATTTCAATCCTCGAATACAACTATAAGTATGCGAAAAAAATGAACTAGATTTACCTTTGCAGCTTCGCGGAGTTGCCTAAACTTAAGACTAGCTTGGAGTTTGCTTAAGGCACTACTGAGGGCTCCTACTGGAGTTGCAGGGCCATCTAAAGTTGCGGTCGGTAAAGAAACTTGTTTATTATCATTCAATATGACTATCAGATTCGAGTCAAGGAATCCTGCATTATTCATGGCCTCGTATGCTTGTCCTGCAGTCATGGCTCCGTCTCCAATTACAGATATGACATGGTTGTTGTTCCCTAAAAGATCTCGAGCAACCGCCATGCCTGCAAAACATCATTTAACTTAGACAAACTCCAAATCATGTACTTGGGATTCATCAACTTTTTCTCCTAATGGAAGTATGTAACAATCAACGGATCTCTGAACTCAAAAGGGGTTCAATGTGAAGAGAAAATCTCACATTGGAACGCGAGGGGAAAGTTAGGAACCATACAAGGCAAATCAAGAACTCAACTGTCACATCACCTTTAATGCAAAAAACGGCTGACAGAACCGCGAGACCCCAAAAGTCAGGCCAGAGCGGACAATACTTTGACAGTTGAACTTGTACCGTTATACAACAACAACAACAACATTCCCAGTATAATCCCATAAGTGAGGTCTAGGGAGGGTAATGTGTACGCAGCCTTACCCCTACCTTGTGAAGGTAGAGAGGTTGTTTCCAATAGACCCTCAGCTCGAGTATGTAAAGCAAATACAGCAGCGAAGAAGTCATGAACTGAATTTATTACCAAGACCAGCGGAGATGCTTGTTGAACTATGCCCTGCACCAAATGCATCATGAACACTTTCATCCCTTTTAGGAAAAGGTGCTAGCCCTGAAGTCTTTCTCATTGTATGCATTTTAGACCTTCTTCCTGTCAAGATTTTGTGTGCATATGCCTGCAATTTTTTTTTGTTCACTTCAATTTCCACTATATATATAAAAGAGTGAATGGTCAAAAACACATCAAAACTATTCCGTTTTTTTCAAGTTTCACACTTGAACTATAGGTGTGCGAGTTTTCTACCTGAACTATCACTAAACGTTTATCGAAACATTAACTATCAATTGTCAGTTTTCTTGCCTGAACAGTGGTGATATTTCGGATAAGAAAAGTGAATAATTGACAGTTGGATGTGTTTCGATAAATATATGGTGATAGTCCAGGTAGGAAACTCGAATACCTGATCGTTCAGGTATGGAGCTCAAAAACCAGGATACTTCAGGTGTGTTTTGACCATAAACTCCATATTAAACTATCTATTCTTCAAGGAAATAAAGAAGAATAAAGATTTATTCACCTGATGACCAACATCCCATATAATTTTATCCTCAGGAGTATCAAAAACATGATGCAAAGCCACAGTTAAATCCACAACACCTAAACTTGAACTCAAATGACCTCCGGTTTTTGCCACTGAATACACAATCTCTGCTCTTAGTTCTGCAGCTAACTGTTCAAGATCCTGTTTTTTATTCGAAAAAAATGCATATCGATCAAATAATCCGATAAAAGGCTTAATATTTAATTGTTTGATAAGGAATTTACCATTTTTGATAGATTCTTCATATGTTTAGGATAATTGATTGTATCCAAAAATGGTGTAGGTGGCTTTTCACCTGAAAAATCAATCTGCAAACTATCTTTTTCTTCCTTTCTTACTATCTTCCCATTGATTTCATCTGAGCCATTCACAGAAGCTTTTACAAGAAACTGAAACAAAAACATCAATTTTAGTCGAGGCTAGTGCGTTCCAGATACCAAATGATTATACCAAAAAGGTTACAAAAGATCATAACATTACAAAAGATTTTACAAGAAATGAGACAAAAAACACTTCAAGATGCTAATACTGTTCGTCTTACTTTTTCTTTTAGTCTGTTTAAAAAAAATGTCACTTTCCTTTTTTTTTTTACGACTATCTAACTATAACTTTTCATGTAAAGACGTTAGAGATTAAAGAACATTTTGGTACAATCTACGTATCTTTTATTTAACAACACAAGATTCAAAATTTAAATTCTTCTTTACCTTCTTAAACTTCACATCAACTCAGAATTAGACAAACAAATTAAAACGCAGATCGTACAAAAGATCACAACTTTAAATAAACTTTTACAAGAAACTGAAAAAGGGACATTTCAAGAGCTCTAGATAAATAGATATGATTATATCAAAAGATTATAACTTTACATAAACCATATACAAAGAAACTGAAAAAACAAGAATATATCAGTACCAGATATCATAAAAGTTTTAAAAAGATCACAACTTTACAAAAAAACTCAAACAAATCCATTCCAAAATATGTGGGAATAAGAAAATTTTACCAGAATTCCACAAAAGATCAAAACTTTACATGAAAAAAACACAAATTTTTTCAAGAAAATCAAATGGGGTATCTTATTTACTCACTTTTTTCTTTGTGAAGTTGTAAAATCTTGGAGTTTTCATGTATGGAGAACTTGGGTGCTGGTTGATTCTAAATACAGTGCCTGAAGAAACTGCCATTTTTGTATGAAAAATTTTAGTCAGAGAGAAAATGAACAAGTTGTTCAATTATTTTTAGACACAAGAAGAGAAAAAGGGGGACATAATTTATAGTTACAAACAAGAAAGAGTAGCAACTTCCTTAAATATAAAAATAGAAAAAATATCAATTCCCAAAATGATAAATTGTCTATATTCTCAACATGGTAATTTAATTTACTTATTTTTTAACACTACAAGGAAATTTCATTTTATTTTTTTTGTCATTTCGAATCTATAAGCTTTAAATCGAAAGTGAAATATTTATTTTTCTGATAAATTTTTATATCAATTGTAGAGTAAATTTAAATACTGTTAAATGAAAAGGTTAACCTGAATTTAAACAGTCAAACATAAATTCAAAAACAATAAATATATGACTATTATTTTGTCTAAAATAATGTTTTGAGTGATAAAAGCTAAAATATGGATCAAATTCAATTCAAACAACTCTTATATCAATTATAGAAAATATTTAAGTAGAGTATTAATGGAAAAGATTAATTTGAATTTGATCGGGTCAAAATAAATTAAGATAATAAAAATGTGAATTGTAATTCTATCAAAAAATATTTTGATGGAAATGCATTAAAATATAGATGACAACATAAATTGTCAATTCTTACTAGGTTTCAATTTGTTTATTTTTTTTTTATATAGTAGAGTATCTAATAAAATTACTTTTTAAATTATTACTATACATAACATATCAAAAATAAATTTGATAACCTTTTCTATATCATGACTATATTTAATATTATCAAATTTTAACAAAAAATATCTTTTTTAAAAAAAAAATTGACAAGTTATATATATAATATATATACTACTAAAAAAAACTACATTTAGCAACGATCTCGTCACTGATTTGTTGTTGTTTTGTTCGTTGCTAACAAAAATCAATCGCTAATTCGTCACTAAGTAGGTTTAACAACGAAATTTATTGTTTAGCTATAAAAAAATTTTATCGCTAAATGTATTTTTTTTAATAGTCATAGATCAATTTGAATTATATACTAATTCAATTTTTTATGTGCTGAAATAAGTTAGGATGACCCTCCCAAACTTATTTGGATTGTGAGGATTATGCATGATATGTTTTTATAGACTGATTTATAATTTAAATTTAAGTAGATATATAATTAGAAGTAATTAATAAAAAAATTCTACAAGTAACTAATAAAAATTTTACTTCAATTTACAAGAACCCCTAATCAAGCCTCCAAACCACTAAAAAATTATACACATATGATGTTTGTTCCAAATAACACTAATTTATTATGGTTTAATTATGAACTAAAGTATATGTTAAGATATGTATTAAATATTCATTGAGTTTGATATAAATGATCAGTTTTATATTTATATGTTAAAAATTTGCTAAATAAATAAATTTCAAATACAATAATCAAATGATCTATCGTAAAATTTTTAGACTTAAATGATATTTAAAACTTAGATCTGCCTCAATCTATTATAATATATTATGTACTATTATATTAATTAAGTTATTGAATTTTTATTAGAGTATAAACAAAGTTTACACTATCAAGGTAAGAACTTAAACTTATTTATGATTTTTTTTTCCACTCTGGACAAATAATATTTTAATGTCGTTATTGAGATTACTAAAAATGGAATCAACGTAAACAATGTTTGTTATTTCGATTGGATCATTTTACTGGTCAATTCTACTAAAAATAGATAATTCATGATATAAATTGTTATTTTAAAAAAATTAAAATATAATCGGATATATTTTCTTTCTTTTTTATGATCGTAATGTCCCTGCTAGTTTATTTTCCACCACCAACGGATATCAAGTATGTTTGGAATTGAGGAAAGTATTTTTCATGAAAAATTATATATATATATATATATATATATTGTGATGAGTTGTAGCAATTCTAAATCAATTTTTATTTTAAGTAAGTTTATTTTTTATTTATTTATTTTTGTTTCTGCTTTATAAATTTATAAAATTGATCCTACCAACTCAAACTAGATAATGGCAATGTAATGAGCAGAAATGCTTTCATGAATCATCACTACTTTTCTTAATGGTATGATTTTTATATTAAGAATGAAATTTAAGATGATAATTTAAAATACGTATTTGTCATATTAATTTTAACAAATTTTGTGATAATGTATTAATGGTAAGATCTATTAATAGTAGTTTAATAGAGTTTTTTTAAAAAAAAATCAAACTTCCTTTTTATTTTTGAACAATAATAGACATTCTTTATTATGTATTCTAATTATATTTTTTAAATGCATTTTAACCCTTAAGATTTTGAATTTACCTTGAATATATTATTAATTTCATTTTTCATATATTTATTTCTCTAAGTATAGTTCATTGTCTAGGGGTTCAATTTAAATTATAATGTAAATCAAATAGGATAACAATTAAACTTTTTATCACATATAAACATGTGAATCATGATCTGCAAAGATAAATTAAAAAAATTTAGTTTAATATTAAAGGGGTTTTAATATTATTTTAATTTTAAATCATAGATCCATATTTTATGTGTGATCTTCTAGATTTTTTCAAAAAAAAGAAAATCCCTTACGTGGTTCCAATATCTTATATGTTACGTTTGCATGTATTATAATAATAATAAGGTAACTTTATATATGAGATACTTAATTTGGTCTTTTGATTTCATTATTTATTTTGGCTGGAATTTATAACATCATCAAATAATATGATGGAATGAATATGATTTGTTCACCTTTAATTAATTAAAAATATTAGGTTTAAATATTATAATAAAAATAATTTTTAGCGGCATTAAAATATTGACATTAATAAAGAGTGTTAAAATCTTTATCGACATTAGTTAAGTATTATTAAGGAGCGTTTTCTTTTTAATAAATCATATACGACTTGAGTTTGAATTAAATGAGATTTTAATAAGAATATAGTAGAAATCATATATTTTTGTAATTTTGATACCATATTTAAATCCTCGTAGATCTTGAGCAGAAAAAAAAAGAGAAAAGAAAGAAGAAATAAAAAAATTTGAAAAACTTAAAGGACTCCGTCTGTAACTATTAGAGTAGATTGTCTAAATTACACTTCTTGAAATAGAGCAATTTTGGTCTATATCTATTAGAATAGATTGTCTAAATTACACTTCTTGAAATAGAGCAATTTTGTGTTGAAATTGAAAAAAAATGTATACAAACTTGTATTTTTATTTTGGGAAAATGCACAAGTACCCCCTCAACCTATGCCCGAAATCCCAGAGACACACTTATACTATACTAAGGTCCTATTACCCCCC